GAGGGGGGGGGTTGTTGCCATTTACAAACCTTTACCCAACTTGTATAAACTCCCCCTTAGGGAGAAAAAAGGAGCCGTTATAAACCCCCTTTGCAGTTTATCCAAACAGTTCCAAACTTTGGATACTAGAGGCGTTATGGTGAGTTGTGTAACTCACATCAGACACACACACACACACAGCCACCTAAACCTCCTCGGGATGTTCATCCGTTTTCTGCGGATGCGGCCGGAACAAAAACAGTCATTCATTCCCTCCGTTCGGATTTGATGTATTACAGGAGCAGCCAATTGCTTCTGTTTTTAACGTTTGCACGTTGTTATCGCTCGTTCAATGCTTTCGCTTTAAGTGCTACAATTGAAATAATTTGTATTGATAGTGCGCAGCGAGTGGCTTAAACGCATTTCACAATAGAGATTAGGAAATGGAGAGCATGACCTGTGTGAGCAGACTCTCAATCTGAATTTCATAACAACATGTCCCAATGAATGAATTACTGTTGCTTTTAATCAACAGGATATTTGGTCCAAATCACATTTGTGGCATTAAAACAGAATTTGATTTGTACTTACAGTACATCTACATCTGTGTTTGGAAGGTTCTTGGTCAACTTAAAGCAGCAGTTCTGTTTTATCACTGAACCTGTATTAATACCATTGGTGTTCATCTTGTCATTGACTGGAAGCCGTAGCAACAAAGGGATTAGATATATTACTAATTAATTAATGTAAAACACTTTCAGAATTGATCGTCGAATGTCACGCTGAGACGTTCTGTCCCCCCACGTCTCCCTCCTCCCCAACAGCACACGGAGCTGCTTACGTTTTCTCGTTTGTCTCAAAGACGGATATTAAGTTCACTGCGATCTCTCCGCTATACCGATGCATCACGCCCCCCCCCCCCCCTCTCCCCCTGGAGCTGGGTATTGTCCAGTGTAGCCCTGAGATGGAGGTCACTGGTTGCCACTGGGTTGAGAGATGAAGGGGGGGGGGATATACCGACAGTTAATGACCTGCCAGATACACGCCTCCCAGCAGAAGGTCGCCGCGTGAAATGACCCGCGTTAGTGAAATTCATTAAAGCCTCATTGCACAGCGTCTGGATGGTGTTTTGTCCGCGTATACGCGTCGTCGTCACAGATGCAACATTAACATTACTCCCATGGGAAACATCTACTGCCCATTATCCCCTCGCTCATTTTTCAGAGGCTTCTGTTTAGAGGTATTTTTAAAGATCACACGTACTCCGGTATTTGCATGAGCGGTCGGAGAAAACAATTTTCCTATTAATGCTCGCTATTTATATCGAGGTGTCTGTTCATATTTTAGGATTTACTTCATAACCAGCGTTAAAAAAAAGAAGTCTTTAAGGTCTGTGAGGTCTTGAGGTCTTTAAGGTCTTTAAGGTCTTGAGGTCTTGAGGTCTTGAGGTCTTTAAGGTCTTTAAGGTCTTGAGGTCTTGAGGTCTTTGAGGTCTTTGAGGTCTTTAAGGTCTTTAAGGTCTTGAGGTCTTGAGGTCTTTGAGGTCTTTGAGGTCTTTAAGGTCTTGAGGTCTTTGAGGTCTTTAAGGTCTTTAAGGTCTTTAAGGTCTTGAGGTCTTTGAGGTCTTTGAGGTCTTTGAGGTCTTTGAGGTCTTTAAGGTCTTTAAGGTCTTTAAGGTCTTGAGGTCTTGAGGTCTTGAGGGCTTTAAGGTCTTGAGGTCTTTGAGGTCTTTAACGTCTTTCAGATCTTTAAGGTCTTGAGGTCTTGAGGTTTTGAGGCCTTGAGGGCTTTAAGGTCTTGAGGTCGTTTGACGTCTTTTAGGTCTTTAAGTCTTGAGGACATGAGGTCTTGAGCCCACTAAGGCCTTGAGGTCTCTGAGGCCTGAAGGTCTTATAGGTCGTTTGAGATCTTGAGGACTAGAGGCCTTGATGTCTTGAGACATTACAGGGCTTGAGGTCTTGATGTGATCAAGGCCATGAAGTAGTGAAGGCTTCAACGCCATCAATCTGGATCCACGTGATAACGTCCTCAATCACTTATTCCCACGTTTCTATTAAAGAAAGAGAGGAAGAAGAGGAAGTCACCCTGTTATCACCGCCTCGTTCACAGCCGCATCCAGAAAAATAGCAAAGTGGAGGCTGGTCGTGCCCCCCCCCCCCCCCCCCCCCGGCCAGTGTGCCGTCCGTCGGCACACTGGTGAAAGCCAACGTCTCCGACATCCCCTGGCTGCTCTTCGGGGTCCGGGGGGCTCCCGCGGGTAACGGGTGGAGGGGCCCCATGTCGCTGTCGGCCGAACGCCGCGGAGCCCGATGGGTGTTCTCCACCCAGGTGACATCAAAGCTGAGGAAGAAGTGAAGGGAGGGAGACACCTGTGAGATACTGCGAAAGAGCAGCGCTGTGCGTGGGAGCGAGGTATTGGGTGGGTTTTTTGCGGTGGGGGGGGGAGCATGAAAGAAAGGGTAATGTTTGATGTGATAATGAAACACCTTCTTTAATCCCCGTGCTCCTTTTTCTTAAATCTGCAACACACACCGCTTTGTCGACAACGAACGTTTTTTGGGCGGCCCCTACGAGGCAGACATCTGCAATCTGAACGCTCTGCCTTTTGTTGCCCGGCGGGCGTCGTGAGCGGGCGCGAGCGCCGCGGGTTCGCTCGCTGGAGCGTCTGGCTGTTACGCGGGCAGATTTACCGGCCCGTGAACCCGTAAAACCTGCAATTACAAACCCCAACAAGTCGGGGCGCCGCGCCTTCCCTCTGGCCTCCGGGATTTAAGCTCCACTATCAGCCAAGCGTGACTCCAGAAGCTAATTGCACGAGAGTGACACACGCTCACGCTCGCACAACATCCTTACGGGAGGAGTGGGAGTGGAGGGGGGACGGGGGGGACGGGGAGGGGGGACTGATGGCGGAAGTGGAATTTAGTTTGAAATTCATCAAATTTTAATCCGCTTGCGCGCATTTCCATATTTCCACATTTATTTCCTCACGCTCCCGGCGTCCGCTGCTTCTCGGCGTATCATTTCTCCGGCCCTGTTAATGTCTCACCTGCAACACACTTCCTGTCACCAGGAGAAGAAAAAAAAAGAGGGCGTCCTATCCGGTCCGATGTCAGTGCATCACTCCATTGCTGCCACGGTTGGTAAATTGCGTGTGTGAGACGGACGAGGGGGGGAGGTGGGGGGGGAGATAAGATCCCTCTCTATAAGGAATCGGTGTATTTACTTAGCAATCTGCTCCTCGCAAACGCCGCGGCGATTGCTTCGTCTTCCCCCAAGTGTCGTCTCCCCTATCCCCGTGTTTCTCCTACACGCCGCCCCCCGCCCCCAAAAGGTAATTGCTCTTACCTGGGACACCGTAATGGATCCTGGATGAAGTATTGACCGCCTCTAGATTTTGATTAAGGGGCTGCAGGGCAGGACGTGTCTCTAATGAAATTGAGGAATCAGCATTCCGCGGCTGGAGGCTGTGCATTGTGGCCCACGGGCGCCTTGATTAGGACCCCGATCCTCCTCAGATCCAGAGGAGAGGGCGCAGCCGGCGATGAACCGGCCCATGGAGAATACCTGCAGGCGGCGCGCCGAGTTCTCTCTCTGGAGGCTTTTTGTGATCGTTCGAAAAGATTCGGGTATTAATCTACTGTAAGCGGGTTTCGCGCTCTGCCGATCGCTCGAGCGTCCGCCTCGCCGCTCACTTCGCCCGACTCTCTCATTAACGCTCTTCGCCTCAAAAGGTCGGCCTTTATCGTTTGGAATTTGAGCGCCAGGGATAACTTGCATTATCTCGCACTCTCCCTCGGTTTGCCTCTTTGCTTGTGTTTAAAAAAAAAAAAAACCTGATTGCGTCGATGACTGAGATGAAAGGGTGGCAGCGGATCCCCGCGTTCCTCTGAGCGTGCAAATGGGAATAATCTAAAAGGGGGGCACGCTGAAAGACACCGCAGCCATGATGAACGCTATTTGCCGAGGCTTAATGCGATAGCCGGGTAAGATGATTAACTTTGAATCCATTTAATCAACCACAGGCGCGTTCTCAAATAGTCGAGCGTCGGGGGGGTGAAACTCCCCTCGGGTCTCGTGGGGAAACGGGCAGAGAATCAGACGTGTCGCTGGATCAGAGAATCGGAGAGACGAGGCCCGGCCGAGCGCCATCCTGTGAAGCGGCGGGCACCAAATGCCATTTTGCGCCCGGTGTTTGTCGGCCTGGCAGCTCATCGGCTGGGGAGTCAATGCGCCCTTGGGCTGCGTCCCATTGACTTTTAAGTGGGTGGGCTTCACACATCGACCCCCCCGGCTCCACACAATCAAGCCGGGTGATTGACTTATCGGATGAAGGTAAACGAGTAGGTTTGAATGTGGACGTGGAGGGACAGAAGTGACCCTTTCAATAGATTTAGTCTACATTGTCTTCCATCACACTCAGAGTGGGCGAGGTGGCTTAAGAGGGCAGGCGTCTCCATTTTGCTCTCTTGCGCCTCACATCTCTGGTAAAAATAAAATAAAAAAAAATGACACAAAAACTAACATCACCCCCGGTGATATTGGCGTATTATAAGATATTTCCTTTGCCGCTGCGTTAAGTCATTTTTAAATACGGTTGATGTTATATTTCTATAAACGTTGATGAGCGTTATCGTCTCTCCACAGGTGACACCAGTGTCCATTGCAGAATGTAAAGGATGTATCCGACTGCCAGTAGTGACATTTATGCCTTATAAAAAGTGTTTTACCAAGCAGATGGATTTAAAAAAAAAACTTTATTACGAGACTTTATCCTCGTAACGCATACAATGTTTTTCTCGGAATATTTAAACTATTTCCCTGACATGTGGCACGTGTGAGCATGAGCCTCTCATCCAAAGGTTTATAAATGAATCATAATTGTATTTGTCATTGAGGAATAGGAGCCACGCGCACACATCCAGATGCTGTTTGCTTGTCAGTGGTGCCACAGATGTCCGGGTCGGTCTGTGCCGTGTCCGTCCGAGTACAGTGTTCACCGATCGCCTCCTGCCGTCCCGCAGACCTCGAGGACCCGGTGGTGACGGTGCACCAGAGCATCGGAGAAGCCAAGGAGCAGTTCTACTACGAGAGGACGGTGTTCCTGCGCTGCGTGGCCAACTCCAACCCGCCCGTCCGCTACAGCTGGCACCGCGGGAGGGAGGTCCTGACGCAGGGCTCGGACAAGGGGGTGGAGATCTACGAGCCCTTTTTCACTCAGGTAAGTCACAGGCAACGCGGTGGGGGGGGGGAAGTAGCGAAGGCGGCAGAAAGAAAGATGTATTTGACTACTAAAGTCAAATCCAAAACTCGAGTGTCGAGAGGACGCAGGAGGATGCAGGAGGACGCAGGAGGACGCAGGAGGACGCAGGAGGACGCAGGAGGACGCAGGAGGACGCAGGAGGACGCCGCCATAATGAGCTTTTGAAGGCATCGCCTCCAAATCCGCTGATGCTGTTTCGGAGAGAACGTACGCCTCGTACATTATTGAGCGATGCTCTCGTGACCGGTGGCCTCCTCCGGCGCGGCGCCGAAGAAAAGGGGGAGGGGCGGCAGAGCAAACGCTTTGCTACAAATAGATTTAAGTAGCAGAACAAGTTTAGAATGTACGAGCGAGATCAAACGCGTGCGACGCGGCGCTGTCTCACCGCGAGAGGCCGCTTGTATTCCCATTGCTCGTGTCTTAGTGAACTTTGAACTTTAGAACTATTGCCGCTGCTGTTGTGAGCAAAGTACTTTTTGTGCACTCGGAAAAAAAACGCCGATGATCCCTGAAAATTCAGCAAAACTATTTTGATAAAAAAGGTCTTTCCACGATCACCAATGTTCTGCACAAAGGACTCAGACACTAAGTGTGTAAATGCTGCACCTTTCATCAGCCGTCCTAAGACAGTAAGAAGTGCAATAATAGAACGCATTCAATCCCCGGAGCCGCAGTCATCACCCGTATGAATGCAGTACCACTTTCAATAACCCGGCTTCACAAAGTTAATGCATGTGGAGAAATGGATCGGGTTCACAATCCAGTTCCATCATTTGTGGATTTTCTGTGCAATTTGGAAAAAGCGAAACTTTTCCTCTAAAAGGAACCAAACGCTTACAGCAAAGAACTGATTGAGCCCGCTGTGTCACCAGCGGGGGAACTGCAGTTTGTTTTAATTGATGTAGTGAAATCTAATTTCTTAACAAAAGGGAGAAAGACATACGAGGGAGGAGAAGTGGGATTGATGTCTGTGCCAAATGGAGAAAGATGGCCGGGGACTAATGGAGAGGCTGAAGGAGGCTGAAGGAGGCTGAAGGAGGCTGGAGGAGCCGTGGAACCGGGCCTCATCAAACACTCTCTTCCTCCTGCATCCTGCTCTGCGTACCTCTTACCTCATCCCCCTTCATCCCGCCCTCCATCACTTAAAATATGAGCGAGACCCCGAACCCCGAGATAAGACGTGACGGTCCAACCACGAATAAATCCTGACCAGGCTCTTTTAATTTGCTCCTATAAATGGGCGGTTGCATTATTTTTCACCAAAAATGTCTGAACTGCACCTGAAGCTCCGTTGTGACGTTGTGGCAATTTGTTAAATTAAGAGCGTCTCTGTGCATTCCTCCCTCGGTTATGCTTCATTCCCGTGCATGTAGTTTTATATTCACACTGACACGGTAGAAGTGCAGAGGTTTCGCGCTGTGAACGAGGCGAGGTCCGGACCGGTGCTTCCTGTCCTTTCTCCTGCTCCTCTCTCACCACAAAGCGCCAAAGATCATCAAATCCCTGACGGAGCCGCTTCTCCTCCCTCGTCGGATCCGAGGTCGTTTTCCTGCGCTGTGATGTTCCGTTTCGGCGCGTTGCTCACCCTTGACGAAGTAACCAGTTAGAAACGCACCGCTCGTCACCCAGCCGAGGCAATCGGCGCGTTTTTCTACGGCTCTTTTGTTCGGCTCCCTCACTCATTTCCTCGGCCTCATGAAGTCAAGTTAGTAGTTTTCCTTCCGCCGGCCTAAAATGTGCATCTTTATCCTTTATTGCCATGGCTTCTTTTAGTGGATCAACCCGAGAGGTTTTCACCTGACAGGGCCTTTCAGGGCCTTGTGAGTTCCGATCTTTTCACTCAATATTGCGATCAAATCCCGCAGTCCAATTCAGATTCACGTGTTTGTCCTTTCCATTCATTCTCTGCCCCTTTGCAGCCTTCTAAAAAGATTTCCCCTCCCTGCAGCGAGTAAAGCTTGAACTTCCTGATCTCCCAGGCAGCGTTGACAGAGAAAGAGCTTCTTATCTAATACAATTAATTCATGCACGAGGCTCATTGGATGTGGACGACGCGAGTGACGGGCCGTGTTGTGCGGTTCGACTTTAATCAGTTTAAAGGCGGCCTGGATCAAAAGGTCCCTCCTCCTCACCGCCTCTCGGGGGGGGGCGGGGCTCCTGGTCGACGGGGCACAGCCGGAATCAAACGCACATTCACGAGTGAGATGGCCGTTCCTGTGGAGCGAGCCCCTCCCCAAACCCCCCGCTGAGCCCATCCGCGCCGCCGCGGCTGAGCGATGAAAGCGCTGCAGGCCCGGAAAATAATCCACACGATGGTATTAAGCAAACCCGACACATTTATTCCCTTTTAAAACCAACGGCATCGCATGTTTATACAGAGTCCTCTCGGCTCTGCAGCCTTTCCTTCTCGTTTTGGGCTTCATTAAAACTGCTTCCATATTCATCTCTCTGACCTTCCTGTGGAGGTGTTTGGCCTTTCGGCGTCCCCGACCCGTCGCCTGGTTTCCTGCGTCTCCTCAACTCCATTTTGTGGCTGTTTTTTTTGCACACATTTGCACACCAGTGTTGGTTTGATCCGAGCTGCAGGGGGAAACGAAGATTCTGAAGCTGAAGAACCTGCGTCCTCAGGACTACGCCAACTACAGCTGCGTGGCCTCCGTCCGAAATGTGTGCGGCATCCCCGACCGCAGCGTGATCTTCAGACTCACCAATAAGACAGGTACTTCCTCCATTGGGGTTCCATGATCGCGCACCGGAATCACCGCGTGCATCGGCAGATAAAAAGCCGATTCCCACCCCCGCTCTTCCTCCTCCGCAGCCTCGCCGTCCATCAAGCTGCTGGTGGAGGATCCCATCGTGGTCAACCCTGGCCAGACGGTGTCCCTGGTGTGCATCACCACGGGGGGCGAGCCGCCCCCCCTCCTCACCTGGATCAGCAGCAATGACAGCCTGCCGCAGAGGAGCGTGGTGAAGGGGGGCACGCTCACCCTGCCGGCCATCACCTCGGACGAGGCGGGGGTCTACAGCTGCGTGGCCAGCAACAACGTGGGCAACCCGGCCAAGAAGTCCACCACCATCGTGGTGCGAGGTGAGGAGACGTTAATTAATTGAGAGATATACATGGAGTGCAAAGACAGATCGTGGTGACATGAATGCCGGATTCAAGGGTCATGTATTGGCAACGCGCGACAAAGGGTTCCACTAGTTGTCGCCCGTTTGCTACACAAAGAGAGCAGATTCTGTCCAGCATTGCTGCGTTTTTAGAATTTGCATCGCGAGAAATGTGGATCGCAGCAGGAAAAGAATTCACTTTGCAGCTGATGCAGCCGCCATCGTAACTAATTATGAATGAATGCATGAATAATTATGTTTGGGCACCAAAGCGACTCGATGAATGGCTTCCAGTTTGGATCTTTTGGGGAAACACACATAGAAACAAAACCAAAATTTTGATGGAATTTCAAAATTAAAGACATGATTACTAAATTATTAAAAAACTCCACTAAAAGCATTATTAGTAATATTAAATATTTGTGTTGCACAATCTCTTGATTCCTCAATAATATATTGTTTCAATATGATTGTTCCATTTTTTAAAAATACTAAAGGATAAACCCTAAATGATACGGTTGATCTAAATTATATGCCCAGGGCTTCAAACATAGGTTCTTTCCGACGATGTTGTAACTTGGAATAATAATTGGAAACAATGTTATTTTCTTCTTTACTTTATCCCTTTTGATTAAGCACCTGATTGAGGTTTGCTCGTATGGATTTAACATGATTGCATCCACAGAGGTGCAGCGTGTCCTTCAGATTGCGCTCACACAGTTTGACCTTACAAACACGCCGAGCATCAGATCTCGCTGTCGGCGCTGCTCCGGCTCCTTTAAGACCACGAGGAGAAACCAGTGTCAAACCATTGGTTAAAGAGCACCAGTTGAACCAGGGCGGCGTGGCGAGAGCCCTCTGCCTCCTGTAGTAGTAGTTCCGCTGTAGCTCGTTGCAGAAATGTCCCGCCTGTCTTCACATTGGGACATTAGGAGAGAGAGACACAATGTGTGTCCTTTGGACGCCTCAAACGTCACATGACGTGTCGTCATAACACCGAAGATTTAATCTCAAAACGTGACGCGTGATTGACAATAATGCGGCTTATTTATGCAACACTTAAAACCAAACCAACGCAGATTCAAAGTCACTTTTCCTCTGACTGCCTGCGGTTCTTTTCCATCGACCCACCCCCCCACCGTGGGACTAGCTCTAGTTACCAGCCAAGTCCTGTCTCCCCTGGAAGGGGGATATAGATAATGTGTGCACCCGCGAGGGCTTATAGTCAACAGACACACGTCAACAAAGAGTTCAGCCGGGGTCAATACTCCTGCAGGATATTTGGCCTCCTGTAAAGAGACGGTGCATGAGGAAATGAACTTTTAAAAATTGACTGGTGTTACTAAGCCGGAGGATTAAGGCTGCTGTGTGACTGGGCTTTGGTCTGTGACATAACAGGGGCCCCCCGGTGCCCCGAATGGGAGACTGCAGGAACCACTTGGCGGTAAATAAAAGGTTGCATTAATTAGTGAAAGCCTTGCGAGCAATAAAGCATTCAGGGGAGGACCCCCCCCCCCCCCCCACAAACACACACAAACACACACATACACACACACAGAGAAAAGGAATCACATCGTTTCATCTTAGAGATTAATCCACAGCTCCATCATCAGGTCGTCAGCCTGTTTGGAAGCATTTATTCATGCAGCCGGGATGGAAATCATGATGGTTACAGGATGGTTACTGCGTTGTGCAAGTGCTCGTGTAGTTGAGCACTTTGGAATTGAGAGGATCAGGTGCCATAAATATCACACCCTCACTGATGTGTCGCACATCTGGAACGGACAATGTCCCACGGGACCCAATATCATCCAAAGTGTCTGTACTCAAAGGTCAAAAGGACTAATATGCATTTTTCTGTGGATTCTGTATTCAGTACCAGTCAAATATTTAATCAATGTATTTGTTGGGTTAAGATTTTGATTTGGACCCTTCAGTCGACCGTCGATGAGCCCCTGATACGCTCATTAAGGCCCGAACGCCGCCACCAACCATCGTTTAAACAAAAGGCAGTAAGACGAGACGCGGACTAAACAGAGTAAATACATTTGGAGTGAAAACAAACTCAAAGAAATTGTGAGTCGAAGCAAATCAAGGATCGATAAAAGAAGAAAATAAATTGGCAGCATTCTCACGAGATGGATGAACAGACGCAGCAGTGGGATCAATAGTTAGAGAACTCAAGCGTGACGGCGCGACGGCGTGACGGCGGCTAATTAATCAGCAGGAAAAACTCAGCGCATTTACATCGCACGTCATTCGGAGACGTCGATTATCAAAACCAATTAGACACGACCGCACGAGGAAGACGCTCCGGAGTCCGACTACACATCAAGACGAATTTAGGACCAGGAACAGTCAAACGCGCCGCTGATTTCGACCTATTTTTGGGGGCCGACGAGGCAAACGCACAGGCAAAGGGAGCTTTTTGGATCCACGCGACGCGTGCGTTAAAAAACCGCATCGACTACAGAAGTGTTTGATGTATGTACGTGTGTGTGTGTGTTACATTTATGCATCACATTGTGGCTTTTATTCTTAATTAATTCTCACCGGGTAGGAATTAAGCACCGATATTGAGCTTTGTTCTCCTGTAAATCTCCCAAGTTGCGTCTTCGCCACGTCGGCTCGTTTTTTTTAATTAGAATCACTCGTATTTGCCCATGAAAATTGTGTGTTTCTTTTAATTGTCTTCGACGAGAGTTTCAGCGCCGTCGCTCCACTGGCAACTTCCTGCAGTCGTGGTACTTTGAAGTGAGGAGAAGAGGGGAACTGAACGGGGATAAGCCCGGCTCCAGGCCACAGGACTTTAGTGGCTGTTTGCTTGTTTGTGGACGTGGAGTGTGTGTGTGTGTGTGTGTGTGTGTGTGTGTGTGTGTGTTTGCAGAGAAGAGAGGTGAAAGTACTTCTGTTCACAAAACATTTTCTTCACAAAAATCCCGACTGCGGGCCACAAAATGAATAGAAATGAACGCTCTGCTAATTGCTGAAGCACGTGTGGCGACGAAGAGCTGCGGTTCCTCATAATTTGCAGGCGTCTGCATGTGTGGCTGCCATTTAATATTCGTGTTTGCGCGCCGCGCGTGTTGATTCGGTTCCTCTCCACGGAGTTAATTGTGCGTGTTTTGCAAGGTCATCCTGTGGCCTCATTGCTGCAGAGCTCGTTCAACCAGTCCTTGAGAAGCCCCCCTCAAACCGCCGCTGCCATCGGGGGCTGTGTGTGTGTGTGTGTGTGTGTGTGTGTGTGTGTGTGTGTGTGTGTGTGTGTGTGTGTGTGTGTGGAAACCCACATCTCTCCCCAGCAGATGGTCGTGTCTCTGGACATATTGTCCCACCAGCCACACTTGCCTTCCAGGGCTTGGCCGTCTCCAGCGCCGAACCAGCCCCCCACCCCC